TATCCAATAACATTAGCCTTCGGATCCTGGACAAATGGGCTAGACTACATGTTTCGTTAAAGCTACTGGAAACACAGCATTATACCCCTACAACAAGTATAATGTTCTAGGTTGTTGCAGCTGAATAAGAAAAGTAGCCAGTCAAACTCGTGCTAAAATTAAATATGAAAATATTTGAAAAGGAACAACCGTTGATTCTTATCACTGCAAGTTATCTAGCTCCGATTATAAAGAATATTTTTGGAGTGTGGAGGGACACCCAGCTGTGCTCAAGACTTACTTCTGGCTCTGTGTTCAGTGTTTATTCCTGATGAGACTATCACTGTATGCAGGATCGAACTAGAATTGGCCCCTGGCAGGGCAAGCACCTTAACCCCTGTACCTCCAGCCCCTACAAGTAATCTTTTTGATAGTGAATTCTCTGTGGAGGATTGAACTGAAGTTATAGCCCATAAATGCAGTTCATTGATCTCTGTGGCCTTAGGGATAAATGACTTCGTCTCCTGGAATCTTAGTTTCCTCATCTATAAGCAGCAATTTTGTAAGTGACCATTTTGAGTTCCTTTAGGAGCTCAGTCAGAATCACTGACAAGATCATCTCAACAGAAGTAGTATTTTTTTAGGGGAATCTCTAATGGATGTCTCCTAATACCCCCAAACATGCTCTACCACCTTGAACTGTGTGTTAGTGAAGTTTAATGCTTCAGTTAACAGTTTGTAAAACATGTACAATGGAAAAGAGAATAGAACTGGACTAAACATCAAGTGTAATTCTTGCCCCCCTTCTAGACTTATTAGGTCTGTAATTTCTTTCAGTAAGTTAAATTTTGTTCATTTTCTTTTCATCATCAGCTCTTTTCCTCACCAACTCTATTGTATATAAAGAAAGAGGAGAAACAATAAATTATTTATTTCATTTAGGGGGCCACACCAAGAAATGTTAACAGATTTCTCCTGGCTCAGCACTCAGGAATTACTCCTGACAGTTCTCAGTTGTATATATGGGATGCCAGAGATTGAACCCCGATTGGCTTCATGTAGGACAAGAGCCCTACTTGCCCTAACTCCAGTCTCTAAATCATTTTTCAAAAGAGCTCATTGCACAGCACTGTATATCGCTTGTGATTCAATAAAAAAGGGGAGGGACTCATTGCACTTAAATTTCATTTAGTTTCAAAAGTATATTCCAGGATTTTCAATTGCATCAAATGTATGTGTGTTCCTTAATGCTACCTTTGATTCTGCATCCTAGTCACTGCTGCATTGTGTGGTCCGTGGCACACAAAAATGTTTCTTCCTTCCCGGGCATACTCCTAGGAACACTTGATCTCTTAATGCCAATCTTGATAAGGTACCATTTAGCTTTCACATTCTATCACTGGTCTCAATAAATTCAAGGGTCAAAGGACTTAAGTTTTGCTTCCAGGCATGTCAGATTTTCCTCAGTCGCCTTTATCCAAATGTTCTTTTGCTAGCCATTTTTCACTTTTGTTTTGAAAAAAACAACTCAACCAAACAGAAAAACGCAGATGAAAAATATCCTTGGCATGTCTAACAATGTGAGATGTGAATTAAACTGGAGGGAAATATCACCCCCATTTCGTATCTGTGCATGGATGATAATGGAGTTGTGACTTAACCCATGAAAATATATTTGTGTAAGTGAACTGACTTTTAGCTTTTCTTTCTAATGAGACAAAATAAGGGCATACATAACAATTAATTATCAGTTCCTGAGATCTTAGAATTTCTTATTCATTTATATGCTTAAAGTTTATCTGATTTGTTAAAGATTTGCAGAGAAGCAGATTGTGATCATAATGCAGTAATTTTTTAAAAATGCTACTTAACTTCATGTCAATGCCAAGCAAACCAGACCCTAATTCTTGTCTATCAATATAGTTATATCCATTCAGGTAATAATAGAAGAATAAAGAGCTGACTGATAATCTTCTAATTGCTTTGCTCAATCATTTGTAATTAAAATTAAGCCCAATATTTCTAAGCAGTAAATAGAGAAATCAATAAATTTGAGAACTATGTGTATCTCTTATATTGGTGCACATGGCATTGAAAGAAATCTACTTGTGGCTAGATATGTATAGTGTATATACTAGAGGTTTCTAAATCAGTTATATAATTTTACAAAGAATAGTCAGAAGTACCATGTTCACATTGAAATAGAAGTGACTTAGATTCACTTCATTGACAGTTTTCTGAGAATGATATCGCTTTATGCAGTGAAATGTGTTACTAAAATATGTTCTTTTATATTGGAAATACTTAAATAAGATACTTAAAGGCTGACCATGTTTTATTCACATGTAATATAAGCATCTTCTAGAGTGGGTACAGTGAAATGAGTATCCCTTGATGGTTCTCAGCAGATTTTATAAAAACATCTTGGTCAATAAAAATGTAAATAGCTACAAGCAGTTACAATTCAGTTGAAGTTAAAAATATTTGCTAGTACATAATTTTGTAATATTTGTGGCCATTCTTTAAAAGTTTGTGATGGCTGCTTTCTCTGAGAGTGCTTAAGTAATTTAGTCATAAATATCCTAAAAGAGTCACTTGAATTAATTGGGAGAAAGACAATTTATCTCTCAATGAACTTTAATTATTGAAGGGAATTTTAATTTAATACTTTTAAATTTTAAAAGACATGCACAAGAGTTGAATCTTAGTTATTTGACTCTAGATTTATCTTCCTCATATAAGCGAGAAAATTGGCAGGTAGTATTGTATTTATAATTGGGAAACTGAGTCACAAAAATTAAAATCTGCTCTAATTGACTATAGGAACCCTATATATTCCAAGGGGACCTCAGTTAAAAAATTCTTATACATGGGACTCACAACATGAGACTGGCGGGATGGGGGCATCAGTAGTTAGAATAGGAGGCTCATAGAAAGGGAAACCAGGTCAGAAGTGGTCCATGGGTTGGAAAATGGCTGAAAAACAGTGCTCTAGTTTAACATTTTAAATTTTGTCACTCTGCTAATTTAAAGGCATTCTCGAACCTCCACTCACTATAACACAGACATGTGGGTTCTTTTGTTTTGTTTTGTTATTAGTTTCTTGGGTCACACCTGGCAATGCATAGGGGTTACTCCTGGCTCTGCACACAGGAATTACTCCTGGCGGTGCTCGGGGGACCTTATGGGATGCTGGGAATCGAACCTGGGTTGGAAGCATGCAAGGCAAATGCCCTACCCACCGTGCTATCACTCCAGCCCCAGACATGTTTTTTTTTTTACCCACTTTAGTTCTGAGTTATTTTGTAGTGCCAAGGAACTGGCATCTCTTAAATAAGTTTTTTATATTTGTCAATGCACCCATAAAGAAGTGCCTAAATAATGGAATTTATTTTCCCCTCTCAGTTCTGGAGCATGTGAGTTCAAGGCTATAGTCTCGGTAGTTTTGGTTGCCCCTGAGGCCTCTTACTTTTCCTTTTCACTGGGTTGTCAGTGGTCTGTCTTCTGTGTCGATGTGTCTCTGGTGTCATTATATGGCTCATTTCCTCTTCTGATTGTACAACTGTCATATTAGACTAGAATCCACCTGAACAGTCTCATTTCCCCTCAAAACCTGATCAGGTGAATGCAAGGCAAGCACCTTCCCTCCTGTCCTAACTCTTTGGCTTTTAAAATTAACAAATTACACTGCCCATCTATGCAATTATAAACTGAAGATGTTCCTTCAGTAGACACTATGTAGCACTAGTGTCTTGTAACATGAGGTGGGAGATTTTATATATGTTTAGGACTCTCAGTTCCTTTTCCTTATGAAAATGGTGTTGTGATTAGTTCATTCCTTCCCATCTTGAACTCCTTTGGTTTTGATGGACAGCAATATGTCAGCCCCACTATGACCTTTAATAACCACATTTTCATGTTCACTATTTGGCATATTTTTGACTAATAGTTCTGACTTTTCTTAGTTTGAACCTGTTTTTCTCACAGAAAATTTACTAATAGATATGTTATATACCAATTTACCAGTTAGGAGTAATTGTATATTTCACAATGCTAGTTGCATGTATATGATTTGAATTACATATTATAATTTTCTAGGTGGATCAATCCAATCATATGTCATTAATTAGAAAGTATACTGACATTTATCTACATTTGGGGTGTTAGTTCTATACTAAATAAAACATGCCAATTCAAACCAATGGCTGTTGAAAAATAGTCATGGGAATTATTATAATCTCTTAGCAGCAGATAAAAATAAACTAAAATTTTTAGATTTGGCAGTGCCCCAGAATGGGCTGAAAGTGAATGAAATCTTTTTATTATTAGACATTTATTTTGCACAAAAATTACTACAGAATTTATTTTTGGATGTAAAAGTCTTTGTCCTTAGTTTATCTTAGATATTAATATTAATATAGTATTACATGAAGACAAGAGTGACCTGATAAAGATATGACTGCAATTACTCAGGGAAGACTATACAATTTTCTCTGTAGAATTGTTGATAGAGAGTAAATTTAAATGCTTTGTAATAACTGGATCAATTTTAGAACCCACATATGGATGTCATTTAAGTCACTGATAGCTTTATTCTGCAATCAGGACATTAAACAATTTGAAATATACAAAATCGCTGTAACAAAAGTCCCTTTTGACTTTCTGTTTAGTAATCAGTCTTTCATTCTTTGGGGTGTATTATAAAACCAATGAAAGCTACACAGTGCAAAATGCTTTAATTCTATATGCTTGTCTCTGCTATCTGAAAAAACCATGGAGGCTTAGCTTGTGGCATGACAGCTGCTTCTAGAATTCTGGTAAGTATCCTCTTCCCAGCATAAGGTGGAGAGCATAGCCAAATACTCTGAAGTCAATTGAAAGGCACGGATTGTTTTGAAATAGAAGTAGAAGGAAAGGTTTGCACCCAACAGGACACTTTGCCAAATCATTTCTGCCATTTGCAATACCAATCAGTTACTGATTTCTTTTGCCAATGTCATGATGGACTGTGTCTTCCTCAGGTATTGGGAGATCGCTGGGCGAATATCTGTAGGTGGACAGAAGACCGCTGGGTTCTTTTACAAGAAGTCCTCCTGAAGTGGCAACGCTTCACTGAGGAGCAAGTGAGTCATGCTGGGGAAATTGTGTCAGTAAAAGACACAGATTTTAAAGGGGTGAACAAAAGCTTGGACGATTTTTAATAATGGTCTTCTTTGGGGACATTCTTTTCTTTCAGTACCATTTCAGTTCATGGCTTTCAGAAAGAGAAGAGGCAGTCAACAAGATTCACACCACCGCCTTTACGGATCAAAGCGAAATGTTATCAAGTCATCAAAAACTAACTGTATGTATTTTCTTTCAGTTTTCAGAAGCCTTTCAAAACAAAATTGTTTAATAGTGTTTTTGTAAAAAATAAACCAAAACGGTAGATTATGGTCCCATTTTGATTTGGCCTTTCTCTACTTCAACATGTTAGACCAAAATGCTCAATCACATTGTTACCTTTTGCATTGATGTAGGCAAGGACAGAGAATATCTCAGGGCAGTGTTGCTGCTGTCTGCTGTCACAAAATTCTGTTTACTTGAATTCAAGTGACGTGAACCAACAGGCATTTCTTTCATTCTGGAGCTTGGAAGGCTAAGATGAGGGGGCCAGGGGTTTTTATTCTTAGTGAGATGCCTCTTGACCTTTGAACAGTGCTCTCTTACAAAGTTCTTGCATGGCAGTGTTTCCTTCTCTTCTTTTTTCTTTTTTTTTTCTCTTTTTGGTTCTGGGAATTGAACGCAAGCTTCATACAAGCAAGTCAAGTGCTCTGCCATTGAGCTGTGTCCCTGGCTCCACTTGCTTTTCTTAGAAAGAGATGAATTCCATCATAGAGTCTCTCTTAATCTCATCTAAGCTTAGTTTCCTCCCAAGGCCCCTGCTGTTAATATTATCAAAGTTTGGAACCTGCAACATAGAAACTTAGAAATAATACAAAATGTCATACCATAAGATAGAGGAACTCTTCAACACTGTTTTCTAAAATGAAATTGTGCTCTTGAGGAAATATATCCTACCCAGAATAAGACCAAATGAAATTTCTTTAAAAAGGGGAAATTTGCAAAGTAAATTGGAGTGTTCTACAACATTGTACAGACTATATTTCTAAAGTAATATATTTTATGTAGATTCACTGAGAAATCAAAGTTCCTGAAAGGATTATCCTCATCTATAAGGGTATTTTACCCTAGCTTGGACAAAACCAGAAGAAACCATTAAAGCAAATTAAATGCTATTAATGATAAGTGCCTATGTATTTTGAGAAAGGAGGGAACTTTGGCATCCAGGGCATAAGAGGGAAGCCTTCATCAGGATATTTAATTTCTAGTCAAACCTTCCAGTGTAGAAAAATATATTGAGTGCTTTTTTTCCCACTGTGAATTTTATTATTTTCTAACAAAGGAAGATCAATATAAAATTATGAGAACATAAGTAAGTAGGATTTTAAAAAATGATAGACTAAGTCTCTTAAATGCTAATATAAAATAGACTGAAGAGCCAGAGTAGTGGGCAAGGTGTTGCCTTGCACACAACTGACATGGTTCAATCCATAGCACCCCAAATGGCACCCCAAACACTGCCAGGAATGATCCCTGAGCACAGATCCAGGAGTAAGCCAAGAGTAGCATGGCTGAATTTTTTGATAATCTAATAGAAACCAGTGATTTGTGGTAAGCAATATTTTTAAATTTTATCTAACAAACAATTTATGCATGGATTGCTATTGTATGCTCTTAATAGAAGTTGAATACTTTAAAAATTTTGTTTTTGGATTTTGGGCCCACATTTGCCAGTGTTCAGGGATTATTCCTGGCTCTGTGCTCAGGGATCACTTCTGGAATATTTCGAATACCATATGGGTTCTAGGAATGGAGCTCAGGTAGACCACATGCCAGGCAAACACTCTATCCACTGTATTATTACTGTGACCCTTAAAGATATTATTAAATAAATTTCACAGGATAAGTTTGTGACGTTTAATCAAATATTTATTTGTATGATACATTTTGCTACACAGCTCATAGTATTCTCTAGGCTTTGAATTTAAAATAGGGTTACTTAAATTTTGTTATCAAGAACTAGCTTGTTGTTGATAAAATAATTCCTCACAAAATCACTTGCTTGAGCGATATGGTCACCAATGACCTTTTTTCAGAGAGATATTTACATATGCATCCAAAGGGCAAAAACATATGTGGTCCAGGAATGTTCTTGTTCTGCAGCTGATGGAGAGCCTTGGCTAGTTTGATAGTCATATCTGTCTCTGGAATATTCTTTGGTAGCAGGAGTTTTCATAGTAAGGACATTAATTAGAAAAACTTAACTAGTTAAAGAGGAGGAGAACAAGAGGATTGCTTTATAGCAGAAGTTGAGGTCTAGGATAAAAGCATGTGTGTAAAGTAGATATGTAAATTAGTATAGAACATAAGTATCATTGCTAATATGAGCCCTGGTACTTCCAGATGTAGTTGTGGACCTTTGAAGCTAGCTACTTTAAACCCCTTTTCTCCTGGGGCCAGAGTGATAGTACGGTGGGTAGAGCATTTGCCTTGCATGAAACTAACCTGGTTTTGATCCTCAACATCCTATATGGTCCCTCAGGCATCACAAGGAATGATTCCTGACTACCAAGCCAGGAGCAACCACTGAGCATGGCTAGGTTTGACACCCCCCAAAAAATACCTGCTTCCTACCAAGAGTGGAGAGATAGTACAGGGCTAAGGTGCTTGCGTTACATGCAGTAGACTCTTGTTAGATGCCTAGTGATACGTGGTCCCCTGAGCACCAAGAAGGGTCACTCCTGAGCACAGAGCCAAGAATAACCCCGAGCTCTACTGCATGTGGTCCCAAAAACCAATCCCACCAATTGCAAAACCTGCATATCATTTCACCATTTGATTCCTTGGCAAAAATAGCTATAATCAAGAGCTGTCATTTCAAATAACCATGTGCCACTATATTGACATTTTTGTGAGTCAAAGACTTTATTAGCCTCAGGGCCATGGAAATGTACTCTTAAGAAAATCTCAAAAATTTTTCAGTATGATTAAAATCCAAATTATATCACCTTACTTGTGAACAAAGTGAAAATATGTTTTGTGTAAGTCTTACTATGTGATAGCTTAAGCCAATTAACAGAAACTGACAGCTGGTCTAGAATTTGAGGTGAAATTCCCCTGCTGACTCAGGCAGTGAATAAGAATTTAATGTTCATTAAAATATGTCACAATCTGAGACCCAAAACAGGTACCATCTGTCACTACGCCCTACTACATGCCTAGGTATATATATGGTATGCTAAAACATTTTATTTACACTCATGGTGATTTGTTTTGAAACATTTTCACTCATAACTCATAGGATTGCCTCCTAATCTCTCATTTTAGGTGGGGTGGAAAGATTCCATTAATCATTTAGCTCTGCATTTGTGGCTTTTCCCAAATCAGATAGGTCTCTTTTTCAGGGTCCAAACTTAGGATTTATTTGACATAATATGTCAATGCCAATGTATACCACTGGTGGTTCACACAAGAATGCCCCATTGGATGGTATATACCATCAGGTACTCACACTTGGATGTCATTGGATTGTACCAACAGAAACGGCTCTTACTACAAAGATTTCATATTACACCTTAGCTCCATTCCACTCAGCCAAGGGGAGCATGATTAGTGAAACTCTCAGATAGTGAGAAGCACAAATTGCTGCACTGATGCCAAAGTGTAAAAGGACATAACGTATAGTAGAGAAGAACTGGGGAATTGTCATAGCATGGGTATTATGGGGGAAAGGGCCCTATCTACAGGAATCCTGTCCCGGGGAAGTGTGTTGCTGCTGAGATGAACAATGGTGTTGACAGAGGATCGCCTAACTCTGGAAAGCATGATGGTGATCTAAACCAAGGCTCTTACAGTGACTTCTGCTCATGACCACAAGCATGACCTTTCCACATGACCCCCGCATCTTTAACATCGGTAGTTGAGTCAAACATATCCCAAAAATGAGACATGCATAAATTAATTTCCAGAAGACCCCAATTATCCTTCATGTGACCCTCTTGGGGTCATCTACCCTGGCTGAAGAAGCAGGGCTTGAAGGGCATACACTATGCAAGGGCTGCCTCAGTTATGTGGCTGGTGGGATGAGAAAGCAGAGACAGAGCAAGTACTTGGGTATGCTCACGGAACCCATTGGATGCACTGTAGTTCCACCTGCCCAGGTTTCCTTGATATCAGCCCTGTGATGGTACTCAGTGAATCCATCTAGAGAGAATCACTGGTTTTTGAAGGGAAGTCCCCAGCCTCACAGCCTTGGCAGCATCTGGGATCTTGTTGGAAAGGTCAGTCCTTGGTCCCTCTCCAGACCATATCCTCAGATACTCTGGAAACAGAGCTGGGAAGTTAGAAATTTATCCAGCCTTCTGGGTGACTCTGATGTTTTCCTCAGAGGTAGAATGGTCCAGAGATGATTCTAATGGCTTGGTCTCTTGTTTTTCTCCTACCTTCAGATAAGAGCAACACATATAGTAGGCATACAGAATTCAGCTCCACCAGTGTTAGAGAAATTTACTCAGCATCACTGTCTTGGGACTTGTTCCTGTTGAACATAGAGCAAAGACTTCATTAGCCTTTTTTAAAAAATAAGTTGACCTTCTTTTCTCACTTCTGCTCATCCTCTGTCTCTAACCCCAGAGAACACGTCTTCTCCCTCCTCTTGAATCACTTGTCTGTCTCTTGCCACTTTATGCCACTGGCCCCAATTGAAGGTGTTGACTATGTCTCACTGCCAGCCTGGGAATTAGGCTCAGGAACCTGGTGTCTGAAAATAAGACTAATTGTATTTTGAAAAACCCTGGTTGATGGCTGCCTTTGATAGATGAGCCTCCTTCGGTTCCCTGAGTCTCAAGTGCTATGGCTGTCTGGGATAAACAGAACTGTGATGATTTCTTGATATGCAGAAAAAGAGCATTTTTCTATTATAATGTTTGCTAACAGTCCAATCATGCCAAATTAATATGAATTCAGATAACCCATAGTAGGTGACTAAAGTGACCCCATGTACATGAACCCTTCATAGGTTTTATATCTTTTTCCCTATGTTAAATTCCAGTAGGAGAATTCTCCAGGAACTGAAAGATTTTATTTGGCATGAAGTTGGGGTAGGATTGATCATTTTTTCCTAGTTTATTCTTTACTGATGTCTTTCACCTTTATTTTTAATCCATTTTTATTATTTACTTTTTATTGAATCATCATGAGATAAATATTAACAACATTATCATGATTAGGTTTCAGTCATACAATGTTCCAATATCCAACCTTTCACCAGTGTACATTTCCCACCACCAATGTCCTGTTTCCCTGCTGCTACTCTACCCCGCCCCAGCCTGGCTCCATGTATGACAGGCCCTTTCATTTTGGACTGGGCCATACCCCACAGTACTCAAGGGACCATGGTGTGCTGCATATTGAGCCCATAGCCTCACACGTGCAAGGCATGCTCTCTACTGGAGGCACATCGCAGACTGTCACCTTTGATTTTGTTTTTCTGGCCAAGTGCTTCTTTGTCTGCTCCAGTGAGAACACAGGAGGCTTATTTTCATTTGCCACTAAATCTCCTTAGGTATCCAATTACTTTTATAGATTATCTAAGAAAGCCTGTTTCAGTAACATGGCTTCCCATAACTCTCTGACATGATCTTTTGCTTCAAACACAGAACTCTCAGACCTTCATTTGGAAATGATTTCAATCCATCATGTATTTACATGAAACGATGATTGTCCCTCATTAACTTCACTCATAGTGCACTTTAAAATTACTCCTTAAGCTCCGAAAAAGCCAGCCGAGGATGATTATATTTACATTTTTGTCCTTTGAAATGTCTTGGGCTGGGGAAGTGGCTCCCTGCTAGAGTTTCTGCCTTGCATATCTGAGCCCCTGGGTTTGATCCTTGCAGTTTTTTTTCTCCTTTATGATGTGTCCTAATTTGTATCTTAAACTTTTCTACAAAGAATTGGGGTTGACTTATACAAAATAAATGTATGTGAGATAATAACAAAGATAAAACAGAAAACTGAGGCACCACAAAGAAATTAGAGGGATTTTCATTGAAATTCATATTTGGATCTCATCTTCGAGGAAGGCAGCAGAAACTGTCTTATAATGAGTTCAAGTATGCACATGAACTTAATAGAAAGCTAAATGTGACTTAAACAAATTAGATATGCAAAATGTATTTGTTAGCAATTTCCCACACTGAGAGGTATATTTAGGAAGGAAGTCAATTTACAGAGTTTAAATCTAGCATTGGCCTTTCGCATTCTCTCAAAAGAAAAAAAAAGGAACCACTAGCAAAATGCTTAATAATTGAATAATTGAAGAAAGTTAGAAAAGAACTTCAAAACTTGCTTTTATTCCCTTAGAATGCTAAGCATAAAGGCAGCAAGAGGACATAACCAGATGAAGAAGATTCTGAATAAAGTATGAGCTAATTGAAGGAGATGGGAGCATTCTGCAGTTCAGAGCTATCAATGCAGGTGGCATGCCAAAATGAGCTACATAAAGTGTCCTTTGCAGGAGGGTGTATTGATTTCTCTATGTTGATGACACTTCACTTCATGAGCGATTGGTGCATCTGTTTCGCGACAATTTCCTTGCCATATGTAATGTTAGTGGTTCTTAAGTAAATTTGCATTTGTTTTGGAAAGACAGGTCTCACAGTTTAGTTTATATTCGTGGTAACTTCTTACTGCCAAATGAGGGGCGACAATTTAATTCTTTCCTTTGTATTTTTTATTTTGGGGGTTTGGGGATACACCCAGCTGTGCTCAGTGCTAACTCTTGGCTCTGTGCTCAGGGATCATTCTCAGTCTCCTGGCAAGGCAGCTTGAGGGTATGCAAGGCAAATGCCCTGCCAGTTGTATTATCTCTCCAGCCCTCCTTCCTTCCTTTATTACCTCTTATTTAGTATTTACAAATTATATCAGAGACTAGTGTTTGTGATAGAAGGTGAATTGCCCAAAGCACAGGATGACCTTAATGAAATAAAGTGAATGAAGAAACACCTTAATGACTGGCTCCATGCATCTACTTCATTCATTCATTGTGTTAGCAACCAAAAGGCATTTTCAGTCTCTCATAGCTCCTGGTAACTTTGGAAACCAGAATGCATTTCCTTCACGTAACATTACATTACGTGAACCACAGTAATTTACCTAATGCATGTGTGTGGCAAAACGATTCCAGCATGTCAAACACACTTGGTTTGTACAATTTAATGGACTCTCCAATTTACTTGAGAAGATAATTACTCAAGCAGTCAAGTATTAATTGAATAGCAGATGCTAATTTTTGTCAGTAAACTGAACATCCAGATCTGTATTTCCAAATAATAGAACAAATGAAAGCTTGATGTGAACAAATCATACTTTAAGTTGATCTAGATATTACCTGCATTCAGATTGGGAAGACCCCTTACCCATGTTTACCTTCTCAGTCCCATGCTTTCTCTTTAGGGCACCTCCTCACATGTGGTTCTTCACTTAAAATCTGGTCCCCAAGGAATTAAGAGGAAATGCAGTAATATTCAAGAGCATGCCTCTACTTTTGCACAACTCCAATTGTGAAAAAGTAATTTCCATATATTGATCCCTTATGCCTTTTTGAAGGAATAGTACTTTTAAAAATACAATTCTTCAACTATCTAAAAGTAGTTCCTAAGTGCCTTTGTTGTGTTTATTCTACATTTGACATTTTTTCCTCCTCAAGCTTCTTATGAAGATTACTTGGATTATAATTTTCTACTTAGGTTTTTATAGGCTCTTGATTCCTCCCAGTCATGATTGCAATCTCTTCAGATCTTCATATTTGAACATGTATGCAAAGGCAAATTGATCTCTCATGTTTTATAAGATAAAACCTAGACTGAAGATTAATATAACACGATTCCACATTCTTCTTTGTTTTAACAGGGTTTAAAAGCAGATTTAGAAAACAAAAAGCAAACCATGGACAAACTCCGATCACTCAACCAAGATCTTCTTTCAACACTGAAAAATAAAGCGGTCGCCCAAAAGATGGAAGCGGGACTGGAGAGCTTTGCCCAGCGCTGGGATAATTTAGCTAAAAAAGTGGAAAAGAGCTCAGCCCAGGTTAGTGATACTATTATCCTACAGTAAGTAATCCTTGAGATTTGAAATCTGCCTTTAAAGAACACTTCTATAACCTCTCAAAGGATGCTACTGAATGTGTCCTGGTAAGATACTCTACTGAATAAAAAAGATTATGACTCTCTTGACTACTTGATGATGCAGGATAGGGAAGATATGGAGGAGAGTGAGCTCGTTGCCCACTGCCCTGCAGGACACTTATTTTCAGGTTAGTGGAATGGAAATGCAGTGACTGAGTCACAACTGGAATTGAATGAAAGTCTGGGGACCTTTGCCATGACAGTATAATCCTAAATTATAGATTTCAGAAACCAAAAGGGCCATCACTTGACACCCACATTTTACATTTGTGGAAAAGTGAATTGTCAGGGATAAATCCGTTTGAGGAGCTGAACTAGGGTCAGGGTACTTTGATTGTAATAGTGCTTCCTTTTCTGTGAGTGCAACTAAGGAGCCTCTTTCTTCCAGAACTCTAAAATCAAAAAATCTAGAGTATGGCTCATTTGTTCTAACATAATGGACCTGTAGGTTAGAAAAGTACCCGAACTACATATGTTGAGTCATAGTATTTAATTTAGCAATGTTACGTTAAAGTAATTTTTAAAAGATGGGAAATTTTGAGGTTACCGAATCTTGCTACCATATATTGCAAGATTGTGGATATAAGAGAGTCATTCAAAATGTTAATGTGGTTCATGATATTGTTAAACATACTCAATGCATTTTGCATTATAGAAACTAACATTTGCTAATTGGTCCCAATTCCCAGTTCAGTGACTAGACCATGGACACATTTCTATCAAAGCAATGATTATATATGATATTTTTAGATTTTAAGTGTTTTATTATGAGATGGGGCTGGAGTGATAGCACAGCAGGTAGGGCGTTTGCCTTGCATGTAACCAACCCGGCCAACCTGGGTTCGATTCCTCCACCCCTCTCGGAGAGCCCAGCAAGCTACTGAGAGTATCTCGCCCACATGGCAAAGCCTGGCAAGCTACCTGTGACGTATATGACATGCCAAAATAACAGTAACAATAAGTCTCACAGTGGAGACGTTACTGGGCCTGCTCGAGCAAACTGATGAACAATGGGAGGACAGTGACAGTGACAGTGATTATGAGATGAGCACACGGAACTTGATTTCTTGAGATGTGTGATAACATTGAGGACATTATCATTTAAAGACTAAAAAGAACTTTAAAGTATTCCTTCCAGAAATGAAGTTTAAGAAAACATGATTGGCCCACATAGGTGATTTTGAATTATATTTCAATCTTCCTTTTCCATTCAATACTTATAATTTCAAATTAATTAATATGAATTTATATTTCAATTAATCATAGGGTGATAAGAAGTCGTCCATTTTCCATTGAACATATTGCTAGCAGTTAATTGATCTAATATTCCTCTTATTATCTTATTATCTTGCCATGGCTGCTTTATAATGCCATTGGTCACTGTCACTATCCTCCTGTTGTTCATTAATTTGCTCGAGCAGGCACAGTAACATCTCCATTGTGACAATTGTTACTGTGTTTGTGTTTGGCATATTGAATACATCACGGGTAGCATGCCATGCTTAGCCGTGAAGGTGAGATACTCTCGGGAGCTTGCCGGGCTCTGGGGGGTGGGGGGGGAACGAACTCAGGTCAACCATGTTGGCCACTTGCAAGGCAAACACCCTACCTGCTGTGCTATCGTTTTGACCCAATAGCACTGTATTACTGTCCTCCGGTTGTTCATCGATTTGCTTGAGCGGGGCCCAGTAACCTCTCTATCTTGAGACTTGTTACTATGTTTGGCATATTGAATAAATCACAGGTAGCTTGCCAGGCTTTGTCGTGTGGGTGAGATATTCTCAGCAGCATTCCGGGCTCTCCGAGAGGGGCGGAGAAATTGAACACAGATCGGCCAGGCTGGCTGCGTGCAAGGCAAATGCCCTACCACTGTGCTATTGCTCCAACCCATGCCATTGTTATCAATGATAATATAAGGAGGTGTTAGAAAAATAGATAATTTTTAAAGCAACCCTGGTATTTCTGTATGTATCCATTGGTTTCAGAGATTATTACTGCTTCTGTAAAAATTGTTATCATTTTTAGGTGTAGCACTATCTGAAAAAGGAAGTTGTTTTGAGATCCGTCCCTTTAAAAGGGATATATTCATGAAGATGTAACTGTTAATGATAGATCACGTTCTCATTCGTTCACTTGTATAATGTGCAGTGGTTTTTCCAACTGGAGTCTGCATATTAATTACCCAAGAAGCTGATTAAAATGCACAGTTTTAGATTCTGTGCTCAGAAAATCTCGTTAATCGTCCAGCAATTTGCATCCATATAGTCTGCAGATCATATTTTTTTTTTGAAAAATCTTGCCTGAGGACAACAGTGACATGTGCCAGTCTCCACATTCTGGATGTCTACAGTGCAGCCTGAAACAGGGAAAGTGGAGGCCTGCCCAGCCGTGCAATATTTCAGTATGCACCTTTCCTTGGAGGGAAACTGCTTTTTCATGCAGACAAAACTATCTTATCAAAATGTTATCAAGTCAATTATTTTCAATGAGAGAACCCCTAGGAATCTTTCTTTATAATAGCCCAAACATTCTGAACCCAAACTGTCCTACGAAGAGCCTAACCTTGTTAAGCTTTGCAGTCTCTTTCATGAAAGAATGCTAACTTTGGATTGTTTAGTTCTTTAGAAAATTCTTTATCCAACATATTACATGAAACCATTCCCTTTGCAAACTGGGATGCGATGAGGATGAAAGGCAGCCATAGACCGGGAAGGCGTTTTGAAAGATGAAATGCTCCTGATGGACAATGAAGACCATTTTGTACACTTGAAGGGCCTATAGTGGTCTACTGGGATTTGATTTTATTTTCAAAGAGTTGCCCACTCCTATCCCAGAACCAAAAACATATATGTTAGGCAAGTTGCTTCCTACAGCTTGAACCTTTAATGTCTAACTTTCAGTGCATTGGCTTTCCCCAAAATGTACTATCAAAGCCTAATCCAAATCATTGTTGTGGGATTTGGGACTATTGGACAGGAAAAGAGGAATTAGAACAAGAAGAGGAGAGAGAGCCAGCACTGTGCCTGAGGGCCCCAGAGCTAACTCAGTGGGTTAAGTGCATGCTTTGATTGTTGGAGTCACAGTCTCCATCCCTGGCCCCTCATGGGCCCCTTCAATACAGCCAGGAGTGATAACAGGACACTGAACTGGAAGCATCTCTGAGCACCTCCAAAATAAAACAAACAGAAAATGTCCAAGATAGAGTGTCTTATAAAAATATATATTTTTTTTCTTGGCTGTCAGATTGAACTTGGTGAAAAACCTACAAGAAAAATCCTGAGAAAATTGAGGAAATGATATGATTTCAAAAAACAGAGGTCATTTGATTGCCTATTTTCTTGCTGCATTTATGGGAGAAAAATATGTTCCTTTAATGACATGAAATATGAATTCTTTTAACAATCCTGTTAAATGGTATGAAGAATGAGCAAAGCCCTAGTCATGGTTAAAATCAGTGGGATATAGGCGTATGTGGCTGAGAGGACAAGGCTTCTGATTGTGTTCATATAATGGACATTGTGTGCCTGAAATTTTGACTGCTTTTCAGGTCAAAGCTTGTAGGGATTTTGACCTTATGAAACAGCATGGCAAGAGATCAAAACATGGGGAAAAATCAACTGTGAGGGCTGCTCTCTTGTATTTCTAAGTCAAGTTTGCTTGAATAATACCTGGACACCAGCTGTGGATGCTTAAGTAGATGACTTATGCACCCTAGGAAAATAGAAATACCTTTTGTTCCCCAAAGTGAAAAGGAATAATAGCTTTCACTTTATGAATGCCAACAATGAGGAAAGAGGTCAAATGAAATATACTCTGTCTGGACTTATTTAAATACTGCAATGACCCCTTATTTCTTCTACGGTTTTACAAATAAGTTTTTCAGATTTGAGAAGTTTTTAATGCTGTGACCTTGATGAACATATATTATCTTGATTGTAATTAGAAAATATGTAAATGAAAATTTCATTTAGATTAATATTTTAAACTTAAATAATGTATAAGTATATATATAGAGACATTTATTTTTTCCTTTTCAGCCTAAATCCATATCCAATAGAGGTGGATATTCATATGATGCATAATTAATTGGTTATGGTAATTTATATTAAACTTGGGACCATGCTGGTTGCTTAGATTAAGATTGACCTAGCTAGATTACTTCAAAACTTCTGAAGTTTTATGATTTCTTCAGAAAAAGTATCGTCTTTGTCAGAAATAAGAGACATTCTGTGACTCTTACAAGTTCATAGATTTGATTCCCATTTGGGGACTCCTTTGCTAGAATGCTAATAACATGTCACCATGAACACAATGTTTCAAATGCAAAATTAATACGCTTGCAAATTCCTTCTCTTTTTGCATAATAGTACAGATTCTTGTGGTGAATATCTACTAATGGCTCACATTGTTAGTCCATAAATATCAATTGTATATCATTTATGTTCTATGCAAGTTTTAACACTCTTGTCACAAACCATGTTACCTAAGTACAAAAGGGATAAAATTCTTGTCAAACACCTGAGTCATATAAAACACACTGAATAAAGAAAGACAAACGATTAGGATAGTGTATTTTTAAAAATTTTCTTCTCCATTTTTTTTTTATTTTTAGAGTTCTTATTTCCTCTCCATAAATTATTTTGCATACACTTTCTGAGCATACCTTTAACACATTATTTTGTTGACCTGTTGAAACAGGAAATATGCTTAATATTGGTAGCTGCTCTCTTCTTTTTGCCAATGATTTTAATTAAAAATACTCCATGGCCTTTCAGTTGACAACCCTTTTCATTTGTTCCTGAAAGCTCTCCAACTCTAATCAGCCTGCTGCCTATTAAAAAGGAAATTCAATTGCTTTTTAAAAACTAGAAGTAAAATAAAATTTTCTAATCTACAGTTTCT